ACTGGCATAATCTGGAGAGAATATCCAAAGATACTAACCTCCTGGGCCCTCTGACGTGATGCTTGCCACTCTGCACAGAGCATATGGAGCATACATGTTTCCACCTTTCTCAACATGCTCTGTGAGTCAGTGACAATCACGGCATGTATGTACAGCTGATTCTCAAGCCAGCGGAAGGCAGCAGTGACTGCCTGCACCTCCATTCTCAAACAAGACATTGTCAGAAAATGCAGTTACTATGTGTTCATTCGCCTTTTGCTAAAAACCCCAATGTTCAACAGAACCATTGTTAGATAATTGTGACATTTGGAACATTAGCTTCTTACAGCGCTATTGTCCACTCAGAGCTAAAGTCTCAAAATAGCCGCCTTTTCAGAGTTTAGGACAGCACCCATTTCACACATGTCTGATTGTGTCATCAGCTTGTCAGTATATCACCTTAGCTCTACCCAGGGCTTCATGCAGGAGGTGCTTCTTGTCTGCCTGTGACTTTGCTCTTTGAGCTATCCGTTGCTATTACTACATACCCTGGGGCCTATATGTGAGAAACATCATCATGCAAATGTCAATGGTATTCTTCCAGGATCACCTGGAACATTGTGCAGAATTATGTTTTCAAGTTCTGCATAATCTTGAGAGCTGTGTATGGCACATTAAAGAGCACTGATGGAAAGTGCAGAACCCTGCTTTCTCTTTTGGTTATTGTCCCGGAGAACATTAGCTCTTATTCATTGCTCTGAGAGTCCAAAATACCCTTTTGAGTTTGGACAGCAGCCATTTCTGCAACCATGTGACTTAGTCTACAGTTGCCTGTAGCTCTTTGGCTATCCGTTGTCTATTACTCCCCTGCCTATATGTGAGAACATCATCAGCAAATGTCTATATCCTTCATACACCTGGTGCTTCAAGTTCTGAAATCTTGCTTGTATGCACATTGAAGAGCACTGATGGAAGCAAAACTGGGGTAATATATTCTGGCTCTGACTCTATGTTGTGAGTGGCATCCTCAAAAAGATCTAATGCTGCCATAACCGTCTCCTGTCTGTTCTGGAAGCCGTCATAAACATCAAAAGCAAAAGTTGCTGCATTTGACCAGGTATTTTTTTGTGGCCAGTAACTGCCCAAACTTTTTGGCAGGACCTCTTCCTTTTCCAAAAACATTTGTAGTTTAACAGCAATAATCTTCTCAAACACCTTGCGCAAAAGTATTTTGTAGGGTGATAATCCTGAAGCCGCTGAGCCTGGAATTATCTTTGCCTGGTTTGGGAAGTGGAAATAGGTAGATTTGTACCCATTCCTGGGGTACTGAAGCTGTTCTGATGCTCTGGTTGAAATGAAAAACCATCTCCCTCAAGTCTTCATCAATCATACTCTTTATATGGACATACCTGACGCTCTCCTTAGCTCCAGTGATGATTCTTTCCATTTTTGAGTAAAAATCCATAGAAATTTTTCTTTGAATGCAGAAAGTAAACGGTCACCCTAGTATTGCCTGCCTTCTAGAGTAGAGGCAATGGATGTGTGACGAAGTCCATTTACTTGGCGCCGCACAACTTTCTAACAGATGTTCCACGTTCACCTCTGTATAACCCAAGTCATTCAGCCAATAGGCACCAAGGTCCACCGTAGACTTAGGTTTTTTTTATCAAGGTTTTCTCTAGATCTGTTGTGTTTTGTACCTCTTCGATCACTGACAACGGTCTTGCCTGTAGAATGATTTTCCTGATCAAGGGACTTATAACCTAAGTATGCCCCTTTAACCCTAAAGGTACATGAATAGAGATCAATAAAACAAATACAATGAGATACCTTGGCATACCTTTTGACAGATGCTTGTGTACAAGAATCACATAGACAATGTCATAGTTAGAGCCGGGAAAAATCTGAAGGCAATGGCTTAGGCCGACATTGAATGATGACTACTTATCCTGCTCTATCAGGAACTTGTATTTAAGTGTTATAAACTACAGTCTGGGCCTCTTTACTGTCAGCAGAGCCCAGCTAGAAAGACTGGACTGGGTACAAAATGAGGCCATGAAACTATACTTGGCTGCACAAAAGACACCTCGTGCCACGCCATGTGGTGTGTCCTTGGTTTACCAACGATGGCCATCAAGCATAAAGTGGCACAGGTGAAAGTGTAAATGAGGATGTCTGCAGATATAAACCACCAGCTGTACAACGCTAGTAAAGATATAAAAGGGATGTGTCTCAAAAGGTTCTTGGATGGCCGAGGCAGAAAATCTAATCAAACAGTTATGTGACCTAGACGTTGTCTAAAACACTTGGGAGCACTGCAGAAGTCAGATACCTGCCAACTTAGATAAGGGAACTGACTGATCAGCATTCATGCCCAGAATACATCATTTACGCAGATGGGTCAGTGAAATGAGGCTCAAGATCGGTATGGGCGTACACGGCACAAAGGATGGGGAAAACAATAAAAGAGGATAGCGGTGCTTACCAGACAACTGCATCAAGCATGACCATGGAGATCACTGCTGCTTCCATAGTCACCCATATGGGTAGTAGAACACGCATCTACATGTGCAGTCATCTTTTCAGACTCTGTGAACATGCTTCAGAAAATCGCTACAGGGAGTCTACGCTCCAAATGGGTAGAAAGCATTTGAAAGTTGCAGTTGACCTCCATCCTCTGGATCTACACATCTGGTGATGCCGGAGTACATGGTAATGAAAGAGCTGACCAGCTGTCAAGTAATGCACCAATGCAAATGGGGAAAAAGCATGGACAGAGCTGATATCATCAATGCTGTACGGACTACATTGAAGGATTACGGCGAATCTCTGACACTAACACAACATCATGACCTAGGTGTTAAACGTCTATGTCGTTCTCAAGGTAAAGATAGGAGGTACTATAACCAACTCCTCATGGGAACAGTCAGTAGAGGTACTTTGGAGTAGCTGCTGCATCAGAGAACTAAGCACGCATGGAGATGCCCAATGTGCAAAGACATCGATTGATTTAACATAACATAACATAATAGACAGCCCAAGAGCTACAGTCAACTGTAGACTAAGTGACTGACTGGTTTGCATAGATGGGTGCTATCGTCAACTTAGAAAAGGCGGCTTGGTAGTTATTGTCCTTTGGATATTTTCTCCAGGTTATGCCGATGTGTTGAGAAACAAGCAGACAGACAGACTGGCCTGTTCTGCACCACTTGATGGTAAATTGATGTATGACAAGCTATATGTTGTAAGGGCCCTTTGGGAGTGATTAAACATAAGTAGAACATTACAGTCTGAGGAGAATGGTGCTGCAAGGAGTTACCAGGCATCTGGCCAACGCTCAACACTCACGGTAAAGGTGGGACGGATAAGCAATCAGACTGTTACTGGTGCCATCAGAATTTGAACATTTTGCTTGCTGCTGAAGATGGGGATGTAGTGCTTATGGGAGTGTCCCAAGTGCTTTGATATTGATTCTTAATTCAGTATACAAAATTCAACATTCTTCTCTTCTAGATACTGGTATGTCAGCTCACAGCTGCATATTGTTCTGTATCACACGCTACAAGATACTGGTATGTCAGATCACAACTACATAGTATTCTATACAGCACACAACTAGATACTGGTATGTCAGATCACAACTACATAGTATTCTATACCGCACACAACTAGATACTGGTATGTCAGATTACAACTACATAGCATTCTATACCGCACACAACTAGATACTGGTATGTCAGATCACAACTGCATAGTATTCTATGCCGCACACACCTAAATACTGGTATGTCAGATCACAACTACATAGTATTCTATACCGCACACAACTAGATACTGGTATGTCAGATCACAACTACATAGTATTCTATACCGCACACAACTAGATACTGGTATGTCAGATCACAACTACATAGTATTCTATACCGCACACAACTAGATACTGGTATGTCAGATCACAACTACATAGTATTCTATACCACACACAACTAGATACTGGTATGTCAGATCACAACTACATAGTATTCTCTCCCGCACACAACTAGATACTGGTATGTCAGATCACAACTACATAGTATTCTATACCGCACACACCTAAATACTGGTATGTCAGATCACAACTACATAGTATTCTCTCCCGCACACAACTAGATACTGGTATGTCAGATCACAACTACATAGTATTCTATACCGCACACAACTAGATACTGGTATGTCAGATCACAACTACATAGTATTCTATACCACACACAACTAGATACTGGTATGTCAGATCACAACTACATAGTATTCTCTCCCGCACACAACTAGATACTGGTATGTCAGATTACAACTACATAGTATTCTATACCGCACACAACTAGATACTGGTATGTCAGATCACAACTACATAGTATTCTATACCGCACACAACTAGATACTGGTATGTCAGATCACAACTACATAGTATTCTATACCGCACACAACTAGATACTGGTATGTCAGATCACAACTACATAGTATTCTCTCCCGCACACAACTAGATACTGGTATGTCAGATCACAACTACATAGTATTCTATACCGCACACACCTAAATACTGGTATGTCAGATCACAACTACATAGTATTTTCTCCCGCACACAACTAGATACTGGTATGTCAGATCACAACTACATAGTATTCTATACCGCACACAACTAGATACTGGTATGTCAGATCACAACTACATAGTGTTCTATACCACACACAACTAGATACTGGTATGTCAGATCACAACTACATAGTATTCTATACCGCACACAACTAGATACTGGTATGTCAGATCACAACTACATAGTATTCTATACCGCACACAACTAGATACTGGTATGTCAGATCACAACCACATATTGTTCTGTACCGCACACTGTTAGAAACTTGATATTGGTGTGACTCATAGCCTATGCTCTACTGGTGGATATAGAGCAGAAAAAGAGAAGAATTGCTTTTCACAGAATTGATATTCAGAGAAATTATAAGTTTAGAGTTGTTTTCTTTCTACAGGTTTGCAAAAGTTGGGTGTGGCGGTTGCTTTCATCAATCACAACTTGAGGGCGCATTCCCTGGTTCACTCAGTGCTGGCTGCGGACCCAGGCTACCTAATTGTTGGTGCAGGTCAGGGTTTATGTCATCTGTCCACACTGGGATGTTTGAGTGTACATATATTTTATTACATGTTTCATGTGTATGTGTGTCTTATAACATGTTTCGTGTGTATGTATGTCTTATAACATGTTTCATGTGTATGTATGTCTTATAACATGTTTCATGTGTATGTATGTCTTATAACATGTTTCATGTATATATGTCTTTTAACATATTTCGTGTGTATGTGTGTCTTATAACATGTTTCATATGTATGTATGTCTTATAACATGTTTCATGTGTATGTATGTCTTATAACATGTTTCATGTGTATGTGTGTCTTATAACATGTTTCATGTGTATGTGTGTCTTACAACATGTTTCGTGTGTATGTGTGTCTTATAACATGTTTCATTTGTATGTGTGTCTTATAACATGTTTCCTGTGTATGTATGTCTTATAACATGTTTCATGTGTATGTGTGTCTTATAACATGTTTCGTGTGTATGTATGTCTTATAACATGTTTCATGTGTATGTGTGTCTTATAACATGTTTCATGTGTATGTATGTCTTGTAACATGTTTCGTGTGTATGTATGTCTTATAACATGTTTCATGTGTATGTGTGTCTTATAACATGTTTCGTGTGTATGTATGTCTTATAACATGTTTCATGTGTATGTATGTCTTATAACATGTTTCATGTGTATGTGTCTTATAACATGTTTCGTGTGTATGTGTGTCTTATAACATGTTTCGTGTGTTTGTGTGTCTTATAACATGTTTCATGTGTATGTGTGTCTTATAACATGTTTCATGTGTATGTATGTCTTATAACATGTTTCATGTGTATGTGTGTCTTATAACATGTTTCATGTGTATGTGTGTCTTATAACATGTTTCATGTGTATGTATGTCTTATAACATGTTTCATGTGTATGTGTGTCTTATAACATGTTTCATGTGTATGTATGTCTTATAACATGTTTCATGTGTATGTATGTCTTATATTTCATATGTATGTGTGTCTTATAACATATTTCATGTGTATGTATGTCTTATATTTCACATGTATGTATGTCTTATAACATATTTCATGTGTATGTATGTCTTATAACATGTGTCATATATATGTATGTCTTATTACATGTTTTACGTGTATGTATGTCTTATAACATGTTTCATGTGTATGTATGTCTTATATTTCATATGTATGTATGTCTTATAACATATTTCATGTGTATGTATGTCTTATAACATGTGTCATATATATGTATGTCTTATTACATGTTTTACGTGTATGTATGTCTTATAACATGTTTCATGTGTATGTATGTCTTATATTTCATATGTATGTGTGTCTTATAACATATTTCATGTGTATGTATGTCTTATAACATGTGTCATATATATGTATGTCTTATAACATGTTTCATGTGTATGTGTGTCTTATAACATATTTCATGTGTATGTATGTCTTATAACATGTGTCATATATATGTATGTCTTATAACATATTTCATGTGTATGTATGTCTTATAACATGTTTCACGTGTATGTATGTGTTATGATATGTTTCATGTCTATGTGTGTTTTATAACATGTTTCATATATATATAAATATATGTGTCTGTCTTATAGTATAGGTGTTACAGCCTTCTGCCTTGGCTCTCCGTCGCTATCCACTGCAGCCTTGAAGTGCGAGATAATTTCCTCTAACTGTCAGCATTTAAGAGCAACAAGCAGAGCAGCGTTGCTTTTCTGCAGCAACACAGCATCTGTAAAACTCAGGGCTGCCGATGCTGGGTGTTTTAGTTTGCCGTCTCGGTTTCTTGGTTTTTATTTTTAAAATTATGCAAATCATGAGTTTTAAGATTTATTGATGAAGAAAAACTACAATTAATAAATATCTTAACCAGAATAATGTGTGTATTACACCCCCCCCCCCCCCCCCCCCCTCCCACATAGCCCCCAGCCTCATAAACTGTTACACTACGCACACATATGGCGTAGGATAGTAACAAGTGTTCACATTCTTTACTGATATAGAATGGTAATGTTTGCAGAACAGGGTCTATATACCTGATGTAAGAAAATATTTTGTAAACATCAGTTTAATGAATGAATACTTTCAAGCACAAGAGCATCACACAGTAAGAAAGAACTTTCATCTGATCTCTTTATACTAGTACTCCTTTAAGGGGTTAACATGCTCCCACATATGGTCACATTTCAAAAGGTATTCTCATTTTAACCACATGGGTTTCATCACAAAGAGTGAGAATCAGGGAGTGAATTTACATTGGCATGTGTGTTGCCCAGTTTGAACATAAATGGGATTGGACATATCTCAAGAATATAACTGAGTGCTGGGATAGATGTCATAACACAATCAGAGATGACAATGGGTTTGCCATCTGTCACAGTATTAACATGAAATATTCAACACTAACTCCAGTTTAAATCTAAATCAATACACAACATGCTAAATCTTATTCATTAGAGTTTAGAAGTTGTGAAGGGTGGCATATAATTATTTAAAATTATAAGGCCACATGCAGTAGTACTGAAAATATATTCCTAGTAATAGGGAAATATATATAACAATAATTATTACAAGCATGGGCCTTACACCTCTCTTCTTCTTTTCTGACAGTGTGAATATAAAATTCAGCCACCCTGTGGTATTCACTTTTCAAGCTCTTAAACTAGTCTCAGAATTCTCTGGACTAAATCTAAATTAAAGCAGGACCTTGGTTTGTAAAACTAAAATCACCCTGAGGTCAAATAAACCTTGTAAATGTTAGGTATAATAAATAGACACTTGATTCCTTCATTAATTATATCTCAACATGCTGGAATTCGGGACGGGCCGAGATTTCACATGAGGACATAAATTGTTAATTATTAAATATAATTATAACAATCAAATACACCAGCTTACGTTTCTAGTATCAAATAAACGTTATATCAATCCTCAAATAGATCATATGCTTACATACATGTACATACTAGATCATAAACATAGTTAGTTAGGGTGGAGAAGTTTCTCAAGGTTTCTCCCATCATGTGGGTATCAAATTTTATAGAGTTCAACAGATAATATTAATTCAGAGGAATTAGCAGCAAGAGATCAAATTAAAATAATCGTACCATTCACTCACACCCTGGTAATGAATTCAGACCATTAGACTACAGTACTGAGTACCAACTTTAGTATGTACTGAGTCAGTTGAGGAGGAAAAACAAAAATGTCTGTTTTCCTCCTCAACCGTGTCTCTGTTTAAAAAAGATTAGTTGACCATGTTTTTAGTGCACTTGTATTCATGGCAAGGCGCAGACACCGTCTGGAGGTGACAGGTTCAATTCCCGGCACGGTAACTATAGCTTTCGATTTTTATGTTGTCTAGTGTGTTCTTCTATCTTTCTACTTCTTTCTATGAGTGCCGATCAATACACTTTCTGTTATTCGATTAATTTAAAAAAGATAGTAGGAAGTACTAAAAAGGGAGAGCTAACTCTGAGTTAATCCTTCAGGTAGTCATTTACCTTTTTCCACTTATTAATTAATAAAAAAAACATAATATTGCTATTGTGAAGCAATACGTAAAATGTAAGCATTTTAATATTGCTAGCTAATACAAAGCAATAATTAAAAAGTAAGAAATTTAATAATATTGCTAATGCAAAGCAATCATTAAAAGGGAAGAAACAGTTGTTCAGACCAGCTTGTCACAAGGGCCTGCCCCAAAATGCTACCTATTCTTAAACCATGGATGGTCTCAGAAGACATGTATTTCACAGAGACATGAACACTTAGTCAAACACTCACAGGCGCATACCAACACACAAAACAAGAGAGACCCACGATAAAACCCCACCCCATCACTCAGTGTCATGTGCCAGGAAAGAGACATGAGGGCCTGGAACTATTTGCCACACAGTGTGTAGGAACAAACGCATATGTTGAAGCCCCTAGAACACTCAGCAGCCCGTGGGAACGACCATGGCCATAAATGGCAGCCGTCAGGAAATCTCGCAGCCTAGCAAGATGCTGGCAGGCTGATAAGTTTCTATGTTTCATATGTGGTATCTTATAACCTGTTTCTTGTATATGTATGACTGACACTATAACATTATTTCTCTGTACAGTTAAGTGTCTTAAACATATCTTCCAACATTAGTTGTTAGTACAATGAAGTGATTTGAACATATGTTTCAACATTAGTTCTCTCGGCACAGTTATTACCTTGAACATATGTTCTAGCGCTTGTTATCTCGGTACAGTTATTGCTTTACACATATTTCCAAATTAGTTCTGCCTCAGTACAAACCCATTTTTTAAAAATATGCCAGCCCACGCTAGTATTCTGACAAAAATAGTTGCCTATCCTTTACAGGATGTTGCAAACCAACCACAGCATTTTGTTTTCTTGTTGTTGCCTGTTATAGTTTTTCTAGGTAAATTTTATGTTCAGTGGTTTGCCATTGCTTTATTAATATTCAGCTCTCTGACCACTGTCGAAACCAGTGCAAGACAAATTGTCTGCAGCTGGGATCGCACACGGCACCCAGGCATTACGAAGCACAGTCGCAATATGTATGCCACAGACACCGACATTCCGACAATACCACTCTTGTATTCTAATCAGCCTACACCTGTATTCTGACAGCCACACATATTATGATAACACAAGCAGTCTTGTATTCTGACAAACTTACATGTGTATTCTGACAAGCACACACTTGTATTCTGACAAATCCACACTTGTGTTCTGACAAGCACACATTTGTATTCTTCTTTTATTTTTACAAACCACACATATTGTGACAACACAAGCCTGCACTTGTATTTTGACAAGTCCACTTATTTTCTGAGAAGCCCATTTGCATTCTTATAAATGCACATTTGTATTTTGACAAGCCTATACACACTTTGACAAAGCAAGCTATATTGTGATAATATTAGACATTTAATAAGTGTGTGAACTGTCTGTAGGAGAGCTCTACTGGAGGCTGTGATAGAAAT